CCAACAAGGTACAAAGCTATAATTCATTTTTACTATTATACTCTCTTAATTAACTTACTATTTTTGTTAATTTGTCAGAGGGGCCTATAAAATCACCTTAGTTCATGACTATCTATGCCTTGCACACTAATGAGGTTTGGGAATAGACCAGGCCAGGGAACGGAGAGACAGAAACTGATTGTAATCTTTTCTTGAAAGAATTTACCATCTTCTAGAATTAAGATTGCTGAAGAAACCGAGTCAAAAAGGACAGGTATCAGAAAGAAGCTGAGAAGGACGTGTGTTACGAAATAATTGACTGAATTAATATTGTCATGGAGTGTTTTTTTTAGATACCATTGAGTCAGTTCCAACTCATAGCAACCTATGTGGTATGTTTCTGAAGAGAAACTTTGCTTGGTCTTGCACCATCCTCATTATAGTTGATATGTTTGTGCCCATTGTTGTAGCCACTGTGTTATCCCATCTCATTGAGGGTCTTCCTCTTTATCACTGACCTTCTTTTCACCATGTCCTTGAATCACAGTACTAAACATTTAATGCCATCTGACCCTTTTGCTAGAGAAAAATAGGACACCTTGTTTTATAGTCCTACCAAGATTCACATAATTGAAGAAACAAGATATTAGGATGAAATCAGTGTGAAGGATGAAATTAGAGAAAGAAACTGGGTAGAGGAAATTTTTACTATGTATTACCATTCCTTTTTAGTTTGCTACTTCCAAAAGTCATATAAAGTCCATAAAAGCCTCTCGTGAAATGGAAGTGAGCCCCAGTGATTTGGTCTCTGTTAATACACCACTACCTTATTTTAGGAGCTCTGGTAGCATAGTGGCTAAAGCACTTGACTGCTAACCAGAAGGCTGGCAGTTCAAACCCACTAGCCACTCCTCAGAAGGAAGGTTGGTTGGGCAATCCTAGTTCTGTAGTGATACTGCCTCGAAAACCCAAGGAGGGGTCGCTATGAGTTGGGGCCGACTCGACGGCACATAACAACAACAACAACAACACCTTTATTTTTCAGTTGAAATAACAAGCTATCGCCTTGTAAAGCTGAGTACAGGAATCCTGAATAGATAAAACTAATAAGAAAAATTTTAAAAGGCAAAAAGACAGAGTGTGAGAGGGAAGTGCCCTGGGTTGATATTAAAAAGATGCTGAAGCAAGAGGAAGCACTAAGACCAAATGAACCTTGCCCACATGGGTACTTTGACTTGAGGGTACACTGGATTTGTGTAATGATATCGGCACAAAGAAGCTTTCCAATGATAGTTCCATAAAGTTTCCGAACATTTTTCCTAATACTTTACTTTCTAAAAAAACACAGTGCTAGTTGTTTTGATTATTCAATAATCGATTATAGTTGCTGATAAAAAGTTGAAACCAGCTGGATTTTCATGTGTTTTGCCTTTATAGATTGAGCCAGTAAGTGTAGGTCCATGACAACTTAGGGATTTATTTTTAATCATGATTCACAATAAGTATCATCTAACTATAATTATGCAAATCTCTTTCTGAAATATTTGTCAGACATTTGGAATTGCTTTAATTTGGTAAAATTTATTGGATTTTTTAAATTACAAAATTAGAATTCTGTTCATTCAATTGATAGAAAAAGTTCATACAGCTCTTGGGATTGATTTGCATAATTGCAAATATGTGAGCTGTCACTGAGGACCAATCCAA